TGGCAAACACTAGTTTCAAGTACATAGCTTCTTGTTTCTCTTCGAGACATTTATCGTAACTAACTTGATTTATTTCTAGTCAACCATTGTTAATAACAGAACGTCTAAGAAGTTACAATCAATTGCTTGCTGTTCTAGTTGGTATTCTTCTCGCTTTCACAATTATTTTGGCCGTTTTTTTCTCTTGAAAAAACCAAGACCACACCAGAACGTAGGATTTTCTATCTTCTCTTGTCATTTTTTCATCGAAATAAAAATTTAATTTGGGTGTGGAATGTCCGTTGTCTAACACCCACATCCATTCAGAAATGAAGCACGTAAAAACATGTTTAAAATATGAAACGAAAAATATTTCATAAAAACCGGACATTTTAACGCATTATGAACGCATAAAATTATTTAACGTCGTAAAAACTAGTTTCAAAACATTAACACGTACGTAACGCGTTAAAATGTGCGTTTTTTATGAATTGGAACGCGTTTATTTTTGGTCCATTTTTACGCCTTATATTTATTGATTTTGTCTGACTATGCATCGAGAGGAATAAACCATAATTGAATGGTTGTTGTAGGGAATCTTGAAGGTGTAAGGTGTAGCTGACTGTGGATAATTATGGGTGCGACTGCGGGTGATGTGAATGTGTGAGTGTCATCTTTCGCTAAATGAACACGAACATCCACACCAACACCCCACCCCACCCCACACCCACACTTACATCCTTTTCAGTATGAGTGATGGGTGTGGGCGTGGGTTTGGGTGTAGATGGGGTGTGGGCGTGGATGTGGGTGTGAGCTAAGAGCACACCCACACCCACACCCTAGGTGAAATGTGAATTGAGTGAAAGGCAGTGCCTGTAACAAAAAGAAATGTTTAATTTGTAAATTATAAAATGTAATGGAATCTTTATCTTGTCGAAATAAAGATGAATAAATTGTATTTTTGAAGAAGAAAGATTTCTGTTTGTGATAGGTAGATAGACAAATCCTTAATATAAGAGCAGAATCGGTTTATCAACTTTCTTGCTTTCCATCGGATGTAGTTTTGCATGTAATGTTGGTAAAACATGCGGATGAAATATGAAAAGATGTGTGCATAAAAGCTTATGTGTATATTTCATTTGTGTGTGTGTGATACTGCAGCTTTTTGAGGGCATCTATATCGAAATAAAAATACAGATTTTCAGGGAAAGCAATCTGTCTTTATTATTTAACTAATCTGTAGTGTTTAGAGAGAAAGAATTCGCTTATCTTTATTTTATAAAATAAAGAATTTATGTATCTTGTGTTTAAAGAATAAAAATGTTATCAGTGATTTAACTGTATTCTGTAAATGTAAATATTCTCTCATGTCTTTTCTTTAATACAAGAGGAGAAGAAAGTTAAATTAATAGCGCTGGTAAACACCGATGACTTTGCATTTCAGTCTGATGATATGTAGATAGCAATGCCACTGATTTATAAGAAATGAAATTTTCGTTCAAACAATTTTTTCTTTCCATTTCTCCTTAATAGAAACAATTTCTGCTTGAAAAAGCATTTCTCCTTGAAAGAAACTATTTCTGCTTGAATCAAAATGCGTGTGGAAGAACAGAAAAAGATGCCCATATGTTTATATTCGTTTTTTCCATTTCTCCTTGATATATATATGACTTTATGTGGGGTGAAGCATTTCTCTATAAATGGGAACAATTTCCCAATCGACTGGTTCAATGGTCCACTGCTGTCTATAACATATAAGAAAATCAGCGAATTCTGAGATATCTTACCATTGTCGGTAACCTATAGTGACTGATTCTCCCAAGGACTTGCTCTTAAGAACTTAGAACGTGGTATTGGTTGTTCCATTTGAAAACGCATTCCGCTAAATTTTTTCAACGTCATTTTTTTCTTCAACAGAAAGGCTTTTCATTATTTGAAATACGGACTCTGCTGGTGGTAGCAACTGTATCAATGTGTAATGTTTGTTTTTTTTATTTTCTAACAGTTTTCACAGAAGATTACTTATCTCTATTGTGAAGCATGATCTGAAAAGTGTGTTGAACTATAGGAGTAGAAATATGACTCTGTCTTCTCTAGTAGACAGACAGCAGAAGCTAAACATCAAATAAGATATAGGTGTGATTCAAATGGAGAAGCACACCTTCGCACCGGTACCCGCATTCACACCAATATCGTGAGATTGAATATTTCGATATGTGTCAAATACCCAACTATTATAGTAATGAGAAGAGATAGTTTATATTAGAAAAAATCAGCAAAACATTTTCTTCAGCATCTCTAGGCACTTCGTTTTTGATTATACTAATGTGAAAAAAGGTTTGGACAGGTTGGATAGCAAATCGAACACAATTGTTTTTTTTCTTTTTTTCAGAAGAAACTTTGCTGTATATTAGCGTCAACAGATGACGCTCATTGACGCTAAACATATATTCGTATATTGTTAGTTTGTTTTGATCCTCTTTAATCTTTCTTTAATCACTCGATTGTGACTAACTTTCGTGTTTTGTTTTTTTCTTATTATTGTTTCTTTTATTTTTTAACATCTTTATAATTTTTGCTCCTTTGATTATCGTTATTATTATTATTATTATTATGTGTAGTTTTAGTTATATACATAATAAAACATACTAAATTAACCAGTGAAAATTATTTCAATATTACATCAATCAAATTAGGGTAAGCTGTTTATGATGAACTCTCATTTTTAAAACACTCCCTATCACCATTAGTCGTCTCCTTTTTTTTTGTCTGTACAATTTACGAAGCATAAAATCTTAACACCCAATTAAGAGTCTCATGCTGTGTCGTTGTTTGCTATAATTTGAAAGTGCTTTTCTTTGTTTAGTTCATCAAATAAGAAATAAGAAAGATATAGCCTATAATCTGAGATGTTGTTGTTGCAGAGTTTTTCAAAATCTTTAATGATGTCTCTCAAGAGAAAACAGTGTTCTACATATTTTCTATATACTTATGCAAAATCCTATGTAAAATATGCTTTTGAATACTTATATGTTCCTATACTTCCATACAGTAACATTATGAAGCTTCGATTTCGAAAAATTGATAATGACATTCTTATATAAATATTATTATAAGAGAGGATGTCACAAGGGGAAAACATGATACATCATACTTTACGTACTTAATATATAATGCAGTATTCAAGCAAAAATGACGAAGGTGAAAATCCTTTGATTTTTGGAATTCGATCATAAAAATTCAAAAAAAAATGATTTTTTTCAGATTTTGATAGTATTTTGAGATTTTCTCTATCTCTGTTCGTTCCTTTAAGTTGCGAGAGATGTCAAAAGATGCCATCACAAAAAAATTGAAATCACTTTCCGAACGTTCTTGAAATTCTGTATCTTTTGATATATGACTCAAAGTATAACAGTGATAGTATTTCGCAGTTTTTATCATTATGGCTCTTTACAAGAGAAAAACAAATAGCATATTTGAAACCAGTGTAAAAAGTTACATTGGATCAAAAATGTTTTGCGAAAAACAATTTTTATGAAAAATTTATCTGTACTCTCATCAGGATTTTTTTCAAGAAAACTTTAACCGTGATCCTTCGAGGGGAGAGGATAGTTTTTCAAAAGATATTTCTTCGGCAACATATATCTGATTCGATGTAACTTTTTACGCTGATTCCAAATATTCTATTTGTTTTTCTCTTATAAAGAGCCATGATGATAAAAACTGCAAAATATTATCACTGTTTTACTTTAAGTCATGTATCAAGAGATGTAGAATTTCAAGGACTTTCGGGAACTGAATTCAATTTTTTTGAACCGCCATGTCTCCACGAAATTAGAGGCAAATTACTAGCAAAATACCACTCAGCAAGCATGAACTCTCCTCTCCTTATAAAGATATCATCAATTACTAAAAGTTATTTCAATTACTATTGTGATGATCCATTTTGTAGAGGATTCTCTTCTGTATATTTTGACATATCTCCTGACTTAAAAGAACGAGCAGTGGCAGAAAAAAATCTTAAAATACTACCAAAATGTGAAAAAATCTAAGATTTTGGATTTATAAGTTTCATGATATGATCTCCCGATTGACTTCACATTTAGGTACAACGAAGTTTACATCTATCTCCTACAATGAGATTTTTGGCGACTTTTCAATAGAAATGAAACAACTATTTCTATCATTTTTCATTACCACGACACGATTGGAAAGCAAAATAAATCTGACATTTGGAATTAGTATCGAAAGTTACCATGCGTCAGTTACTTTTTAGAAAAATATTTTTCGTGTGAAAAAATAATCTCTAGAAATAACAGGACAAAACTTCAATAAAGTGCAGCTGTGGGAAGCAAGCGTAATTTTCTCATAGATAAACTACTCGTATAAAATGTATTTGACTCAAGATGAGTTTTGATGCCAATCCAAATACTTAAACTTCATACCAATGCATTCTAAGTAGTAAAGATTATTCTCTGCCTATTTATAAACTAGTTTTATCAAAGTTCATAATTTATAAAATATCCTGTAAGTAGTATATGTTTCACTTATAATTTTTTGGTAAGACAGATTTTATTTTAGTTTTATTTTTATGAACAATATCCACTTTAGCCTTCTTCTTTTTTTTTGTTGCCTTTCTATTTACGCGGGGATGAAAAAGATGCTGTTCACACGTTCCTATTACAAACTTAAAATATTACGTACATTGCATAGCTATGGTACTGAGTCAGGTTCAAAACAACACCAATGATAATACTGAAAAAATTATAGATCTGATCAAAATCAATGAATTAATCGACCGTCTTGATTTATGCACAAGGTTATCTGACCAAAATTTTGATAGTTCTGAAATTAACAATATATTATCTGCTTTAAATGATCATCTGACCAATCCAATTATTATTCAAAATAGATTAGTATCAAACGAACGAATAGAAAAGTATCAATTGCCCAGTATATTTATTCGCTTATGTAAAATTTCTATTACGCTTTCGTCTTCACTACCAAAATATTCGCTATTTATGACTGTTATGGATCATATTTGGACTATGATTGGTTCGAAGCTCGGTGAATTAATTGAAAAAGAAATTCTATCAGCAAAAGAGTATTATACAATAGCAATGAATGGTCTGAGTACGAACGAATTTTCTAAATATCTTATTGGATTTGATGTTGAGACTATTTTCAAATTCTATGTTAAAATATTCTTGAAATTGACTGAAATTGTAATTTTGGCCGATAGTCGTCATATGGAGCATCTAAATTTATCCGATTACACAGCTCACAAGTCTTTACATGATAAACGATATGACGCTGTATTTTTTAAAATTATTACATTTATTGATCGTTTTTTTGTTGACTCGGAAAAGGACGCAGCAAAACAAGAATGTATCGAGATAATTTTCTCCCTTATTGTTACTATGTCGGATAGCAAAATTTTGCTACCAACGATTATTCATTTTGATTTTCCAGCAAAACTTGTTGAATGGCTGAATGTGATTAGTAAACGTAATATTTCATCTGATCCACTTGACTCACTTATTGTTGCAATGAGCAATGTGAGCCAATATGAAGAGGGTGCGATTGCATTGAACGAGGCCGGTGCTATTGCTGCTATAGAAATATCCGAAAAGGCTTTGGCTAACAGATTGGAAAAAAATCAATTTACTTTATCATTTTATCCTCGAATCTATGCGATGATATCAACGGCTGATCAAGTCAAAACTCTAAATGTTCTTAAGCCAGCTATTGATTTTTTGCTTACAAAAATTCGAGAAGCAAATGCATCAACTGATTTACGTTCGAAAACGGGTCATCTCTACGAATACTTAGTGCCACTCGCCAAACTTCTCGTCAATGATAATATAGCAATCTATCTATTAAATGATAATGTACTAGGTGGTCTCACATTCTTTCTTGAACTCTTTTTTAAACACAATATACTTCCCGTTAATGATCTATTCGTAAAACATCTCATTCGACTAGCACTATACAATATTTTATGTAGTCTTGCATTTCATGAATCTGTTCAACAACAACTGAAAACAAATCAAATATTTATAAAAGCTGTTTTGGAAGCTTCAAATTCATCGATTACAAACACCGAAACATTTATTCCTTCGTCATTGAGAAATAACTTGATGAGTGTTAAAACAGCTGCTCATGGAATATTGGTCTATCTCGATAAATTCAAAATATCTATCTCAAATAATAATGAACTTTTCAATACATCTGCAACGAAAATTCCAATGATTTCTTATTCACATCAAGATGCCGATTTCTGCAGATCGGTTGTCACTGCTCTGAAAGAACACTCCATTTCAGTATGGATCGATGAAGATGGACATTGTTTGTCAAACGATTGTTGGGAAGAAATAGCAATAGCTATAAAGAATGCAAGCAAGGTATTGATCATTGTCTCAGAAAATTATTGTACTAAAAGTCGGTCATGTCGTGTTGAAGCTAGTTATGCTATAAAACTTGGAATTCCAATTATTGCTTTATATATCGATGACGAATATGAGGCGGAACCTTGGCTTGATATTCACCTCATTGGATTACATGTTAAGTTTGGTAATAAACCATTTGCTGAAAGAATTGATCGTCTCGCTAAATATATAACCGCAAATAACGACTCATTAAAATGTATGAAAACATCGCAGACACAAATGGTTAACTCTTCACGTAAAGTCTTGATATCAACTATCGAAAACGATGATAAGAGTTCATTAAAAACAAAGGTTTCCGAACCTATTATTGACTATTTTATGCCGAAAACATCACCTCATACATGGTCAAAAGTTGAGGTCAGAACTTGGTGGTGTACTGAAAGAATTCTCGTGCCTCAATTATGTACGTTCTGTGATGGTGAAGCACTCTGCATATACGCTCGGATATTCTTATACCATTATCAACAAGATCCGTTAAAACATTTACAAAGTCTACGAGAACAATTAAAACACGTGCATGGTATCAATTTTTATGATGATCATTATGCAAATATGGCGAGTTCTATGATGTGGATAGTAAAACAAAAAGAAAATGACGAATATGTAGTGAACAAGTATTCAAAATGGACGTCATGTATACTCATGTAACGACTCGTAAATCAAATGAAAAATTTTTTCCAAAAACAGTTTATAAGTTAACAGACACTAAAAAAAAGATTTTCAGCGATTGCTCATTAAAAACTGGATGAATTATAGTTCTTCTTAGTGACTTATTGGAGTAGCCCAATAATTTAGGATACTCCACAACAATTGCTATGGATTTGACAATACGTGTTAAATTCGTCCGAAGAAATAATATCTTTGTATAGCTGTAACGTATCATATCTATAGGTTCAATACTATATCTGTATATTTTCGTGTCCATGACGATTAAGTAATTCATTTCGATAGATATCTAATCTACGTTTAAATATTGTGCTTTAAGTTTGATCCACTTGTCATTTTGACCTAATTTAGTAGAAATATTTTTATAGTCACTGAGATTTGTTATGAACAAAACATTTCCATTATTTTAAACAAGTTTATCATTGAGTTCATCATCTCTTTCTAGAAGAAAAACTTTGAATATTTTCAATCGTCTAGGTACATTTTCATTCAAGTCTAGAAGTTTTTGTTTTAATTCTATAAATTCTAAGTTCAAAGAATTGTCAATGGTCAAATGAAAATTATAATTATTAATGGAAGCAGTGACAGACATATCAGATGATAGCACATAAATGAGTAATGCTCAAATTTTCATGCATAATTTGTATCTATATGTAATCGATCGATAGTATTACTTAAAAAGTTTCTGTTTTCTGAAAAACTTGTCTAAAGGCAATCCTATCTAAATATTGTTATAAGAATAAGAATATTTAATCTATCATTTCACAAATCACAACAAGTTTCGTTCCAAGACTCCTTGTAGCTGAAAATATATCATATGCTTTCGTATAGCAAATAAAAAAGATCAATGTAGTTATTAAATTCAATATATTACAAAATATTGAAGAACAAGTTTAAAAAAAAAACTTTACTATGCAACGACAGAACTTTCACCACCACCGACTAATCGAATATAATTAAATCATATATTTAACAAAAGAAACCTAATTTTTACTTGTCGAAGTTCTTCATAAAAATAAACATAACATACAAATCAAAGATCGAATCGAATTGAGTTTTACTTATTTGAGTTCAGTTGGTTCGTCTTTACTATCTAAAAACACCAATTGGGTGTGGATGTGGGTGCCATACCTCTCTTTACTCACAGTCACATCCACACCCCACCCTGCAGAGATACATATTAGAAGAGTCTTCAACATTAACTTATGCATGTTTTTTACGTTATTTGTACTTTGTTGGGCCAAAAAAGTTTCGCTCATCGATGTTTTCAACGCAAGAGAAGTTTGCCCATTGGCATAAAAATCCTGGTTACGCCGTTGGATTTGTATCAGTCTCAAGCAGGGACAAGTTTGGAAAAACGTCTTTAAACGCTCAAAATGGAATCACGACTGTGACCAATTAATACTGATTAGAAAAAACTGCAAGAAACACGTTTATTAGGATGTGAATATGAGTGTGAGTGACAAGACCCACACTTGCACTCGACATCCACACTTATACCAACACACGCACACATGCCCATACCTCACCTACATCTACACTCTAACTTAATAAAAATCTTACGTTCCTTTAATAGACAAAAGCTTGTTCGAACAAAGAATAGTTTTTTATTTTTAATGTTAATAAAATAGTTGTTAAAAGCTCATAAATGTTTAGTTCTCGAAATGATAATCTACTTGTTTTGTATGGAATTGAAAGCCGTTGGATAGTTAAGGTTTTACATCTATGTCTTTGTAAACAATTTTTGAAACTGTCGCTAGTGTATTCGGTACAATTGTGAGCTCATGCTCATGTTCCTTCTTCTTATGGCATGCAGAGCATAAATTGTAGTGATCACATGTAGAACACTTGTGTCGTTCTCCTAAGAGTGGATTCATTTGGCATCCATTGCAAGAAACTCCAGGCCATAAATATTCCTCTTGAACTGTAGAAGATTTTGGCTCATCTTTTAACCAGGATCGGATAGCATCGGATCCTTTATTATCAATATCATCACAGCCGTCTGGATTTAACAAGACTCCATCAGCTGATAGAACAACCAGTGTTGGAATGCCTTCTAGTTTGAACTTTTCATACAAGTTTTTCTGTCGATCTCGATCTGAAATGAAAAAATTCATCTAATAATTGCAATCACATTCAATATTGACATATTATCATTGTTCAAATTAATTTTGTTTTGAAAGCTGGACAGTAGCAAGAGAACTTTTCCAAATTTAAATTCTTCCTAAGTGTGCGCTAAGATTATTTTTAATCAATCTAATGTATGGAAAGGTCGATATTGTGCTTTCGACACTAATAATTTGTGCACTTCAAATCAGTCATTCCGGTCAAGTAAATTATCAAAGAAGATGGGATAGATAATGCTATGAATTTGGTTGAAGAGAAATCTAGCATCCATAATTAGATATCTACTGAATTTTCAGGTTCACAGTCCGAGCCAAAAAGTTGTGAAGGTGGATGAAGGGATACAGATAACTGTAATGCTGGACGAATATTGTTGTAAATGAGAGTCAAGTTCATTCTAACACTCGCGCTTAATCACACTCGAAGAGTAATTTTGATTTTAAATGTAAGGGTTTTTTAGTAATGAAGTCTCCTTCTGATTACGTTAATTAGTTATTCAGAAATCCTTATTGATAGTAGTTTGTATCTGATGGGAAAAATTCAATGATATCCTCAATTTTGAATCTGTTTTTTTTCAGATAATTTTGAGATTTTCTCATGATACTCTAAGTATTCAATGGAGATGTAAAAATGTGACTGTCAATAGATTTCCATAGCATATAGTTTTGACTACTGCTAACAAGAATTTCAACACAAAAGTGCTTTCGTTAAGTTATAGCCAGAGAAAGAAAACTAAAACTATTTGTTGTGTCGAGATGAAGATAGCAAATTTTCGTTTTTCTATAGTATGACGTCCATGCTAATATTTGTACAGTTTTTTTTTCAAAATTTTCTTGTTTTTCAAGAGATTCAACGGTATAATATATTATTTCATAAAACTTGATGAATTTTTCTGGCTAATTCTGAATTTTAACGAAATCCTTTCAGATGGTCAGAAAATTTACATTTTTTAAATACTTCTTAATGCTCAGATCGAATCTTATCTATTTGTACTCTAGATTATTTTCTATTTTCTTTAGTTTGCATGGTTTTCTTTAAGTTTTACTTTACAGTTGCAATGTCTAATAATCGAATGATGATGATTCTTAATGTTTTACGATAAAAATTCGTGTACTAATCTCTCAATAGATATTGAGCTCAGAAAAGCTGCAACAATGCTATCGATCACAAAAGTGAAATTGTTTTAATAATGAAAGGATTTGAACTACCTGAAAAAGGAATGGCTTTCCATGGCATAGTTTGAAAATATTCATTGAAAGATTTTTCATCTTCGTCCAACGACACAAATACAATTTCAAATCGATCTTGTAATTCAGATTGGACTTCTGTATAACATGTAGACAATTCTGGAGTCAAATTTTGAGAAGGTACACACCAGTGAGCCCTAAAAAAAAGGTTTTTTTAAATTAAATTATGACTAAATTAAGTATTTACATACGCAAAATAGATAGCAACAACTTTGTTGTCGAGTTCACTGATCGGTGCATATCGATAAATGTTACTATCTCGTCGAGCATTGACTTCAATTAAGCTTTCTCCTAATAAGTCACTCCATTTCATCACCATTTTGTATGTGCACGTTGGTTGAAGAACAAAAATAAGTAATAGTTGAAAGTTGTTTAGGATGTTTCATATACAGTGAAAAAAAAAATCGGGCTACTCACATACACCTCTTCCCATGATCAAGCATGTTTTTTCTTTCTTCTTTTCTTTAACTATAAATACACATTGGTTATTACTGAAAAGTTGAAAGAAAAACAAAAATTATTTTCTTTTAGCAAACATTAAACATTGCTTGAAAAAAGAGTCCAATATTTGAGTGTCTCTATGTATCCTTATGTACGAATATAAATCACACATTTTTCATTAACAAAAAGAAAGGTTGGCTTCATCAGCGTGAAAATAAAAATAACATTGGTATGAAAGATAATTTTGTTCTCAGGTAACGAGCACCTTTCATTGATTGCCGATGAGTCACAACCGATCATTTTTTCATTTACTTGAGTCAGTATGATGTCGTAAGATATTTCTACAGTCTGTTGAACAATAATTCGTCCACATTTGTAACTTCGTAGTACTTTATGTTCTATGTTCACACCAAATGAGTTAGACAATGTGAATGTGGATCATCCTATTTTTCCACCAACACTCACGCTCAAGAGGCTGATCTGCAGTTTCAATACGTAAAACAGAATGTCTGATCGAATACCCATCAAAGATGACATGTCAAATTATCATGCTATTCTCAAAAAGTATAAGCTATATAACACAAAATTGGAGCCATGTTAAGCTTTCATCGCACGTCACAATAGGTCGGGTGAGTGTGTGTTTTTTGTAAATCTGCGACGACACTCACACCCACACCCTTAACCTATAACTTTATAATAGCTTTGAGTTCGGAAGTGAGATTTTCACTACAAATACATCTTTATGTAATCCATCAGGTAGCAAAATAAAAGGGTGTGGGTGTTGTTCGACACTCACCCACACCATTCACATCCACACATCTCACTCACATATTACACTCACATCTATACTCACACACACACCTGTACAGATACAGATGATGATGATGATAAAGGATCTGTATGATGATTTTGTGTAAACATCTTAATATTGTCTTGGACTGATAGATTTGGACTCAAAATATTTTATTTTATGAAAACGAAAAAAAAAGCTCATAAATAAAACTAACTAACGATATTGATTCATTATCATAAAAAACTATACGTTATGTTTGTTTTGATGATGTTCCAAGTAAAAAAAAGACTCTGAAGGTTAACCAATCATGTTTAGAAATCAAATAGACTACTTAACATGACAGAATAACATATTTTAATATTCGGTCAAATTTTGAAAATGAATGGTCGCTAGCCTATGTTAGATTTAGATCATCTTCGAAACTCATAGTGTAGGCAAGAGACAAAAATGAGTGAAATGTGTTTTCTTGACTTTATGATAAGATACAGCAAACTCGACTCCAGACTCGGTTGAAATATCTGTTCTTTATCTTTTGTTATTATGGAGTTATTCAAGAAACACTCACGACCGTTTATCTCTGAAATAGTTTGAATTGATAAATGACATTGAAAGTTATTTATTAAACAACAATTGATTCGATGATTAATAAGTTAATATAGATCAATTTTTTATACAACTAATATTTCAAATAATTAAATAATTATATAACTTCTGAATAATTTTCCTTACTATCGAATCTGTAGAAGGATTAATTTCGTATGTATGACGCTGATTAGTGCACAATTGGTATATTCCTGATTGTGTCTTAAATTATAGAAGGTATCAAATATCAGTGAGATGTGAATTGTATTTCAATTTTTGATAGATATCTTCATGTCAATCAATACTAGTCTGAATTAACAGTTATTATATTTTTAGAGAATGACTTTAATGTTGACTAGCTTTTGTAGAAGTTCTTCGATAATGTATTTATATAACAACATTTTGTGATGTATAATTCGTTCACAGTATTTATAATCATCGACTTGTATAAAAGTCATTTCTCGTTGGCGATTATTTGAACAAACAGCGTGTTACTTATTTCGAATTAAAGCATTTGGGTTTTGAAAGCAGGACTTTAAATTTCCATGATCACTATGACGCTTTTAATCATCTTCGAATTTTCTTTTATGAAATTATCTATTAACGTTTTATCTTTGTTTGAACATTGTCATGAATTATAATCACAAGCTGTCCTACTCCTACCTTATTACTATGGAAGCGTATACAATAATCTGTGTACTTCTTCCTGGAAGCCACATTAGCCTAGGATCTACACTGAAAAAAATGGTACTATACGAATCGATTTTTGCAACGAATTCGAAACTTTCAACGAGGTTTCATCGAACCGAAGATAGTCTCAAAATGATTCTGAAGTAACTATAAAACTTTTTCTAAGATTTCGTAGTATTCGTCGAACTATTTTGGGTTCCACTTGGTAGTTTACTTTTTTTCCGAGTAGAGATAGAGTAGGGAAGTAAACAACTGCCAAATACTCGATTTAAGCTTGCACGCACTGTTGTCTTCGAAAATATAAGTGCATTCCACAAAAATACAAGAGCTTGAATTGATATTATACTTCGTCTTGAACTGTGAATGAATTTTGTTGCTTATATTATCCACATTCAGATCAATAGCTGCTCTGAAACTACGTAATCATGCACACACTTCACATTCACACCCACAATAAAATGATAAGAGTCTAAATGAATGAGATGAGAAAATGTTTCTACAAATCAGCACGTTCTCGTAGACGATAGAAGATGATCAGGAAAACGATAGCGAATGGAACAGATATTCCACTAATTATAAGTAAAATGAGAGCATAAGACGTGGTTGGCATGTACCATGTTACTTCAGATGGCCTCTTTGTATTGTACCAACATGGATATGAAGAATCAACCTAAATGAGAGTATGTTCAAAGTAGAATATTATTTCAGCATTTCGAGATCGTATGAAACCATTATGAGAAATACGTGAGAGAAGTTCTCGTATCATCTCCTAACTGAGACTGCTAACGTAGATGTGCTTTCATTTTTCTCTGGGAACTAGGTTTTCAAAGGAGAATTTGCGAGTACAAACTATTTATGTATACCATCAGTGATATAAATTGATGAAAATTAAGCAAGAGTTGATTTTTGCAGTTACTGCAGATGACATTTCAGGAGAAACATGAAGGAAATTCGAAGATCTTCGACTTTCCATCAAGATTCATTCTTATGCAACAAGATTGTTGAAGAATTTTCAAGTATATTGCGAGAAAAATGCAGTCCAGTTCGCTTAAATGTCGTAATTTCGAGACATTAAACCTAATTTACTACATGATCGTATAAAAAACATACGAGTGTTCTCTCTTCTGTTCATAATCGATCAAATCACTGGCGGTGACTATTTTTTCTTTAATTTCATGATGCTTACTTATACATCTCATCGAAACTATCATGTTCATAGTGTAGACGCGTAAGCTCATCCGTGTGCCATTCTCTTATGAATATGGATTAAGAAAAAATGTGCCATCTTAAGGTGCAGATTGGTGTTCGGACCTGAGATGTAAGGACATTAACTATGCAAGATCATTTTAAGAGCCTACAGGATCGCTTTGAGAATGATGAAATCGATCAAGTTGAGTATTGTGAGGATCTGCTTATTATGTTGCATTCAAGAAATGACTTTACCTCTTTTATTATGATATATATTATGTCTTACCCAGTCTCAATCGTGTTCATTGCTTAAGAAATTCTGTCAGAATTGGTCAGGATCTTATATTGGAACTTACTAATTTCTGTTTTCAGGATTTGATCAAGAAGCTCTAGTCCTAATCTGTTTCGGATCATGAAACAAGAGTAAAATACTAGAGCATTGCTAATCCTGGCTATTCCACTGGCAATGAGAAATCTCCGTCTATGGTATCTCATTGATCTTGTTACGGATGCTGATCAATATGATAAGTGACGATATATGAAACTAGAGGCGCTACATTCGTATTTCACAACTAAATTCATGACTGAACTAGCCAAGTGACATCACGATCTAACTGTTGACATAGAGTCTATGTGTGTGATAGTCGGCATGGACGCAAAGATCTGCCTTGTTGATGATGGAGCCAAAGACTTTTTCATGATATTGCTCGAAAATTAATAATAGAGACTAGAGACTAGGTACTTTCAATGTATCACTTGATGCACAAAAAACCAATCTGTTAAGGGGACACGTTCGAATGCGTCAATTGTTGTATGGGTTTGTGGGCTTTCATTACCACTCAAAAACCTCAAAAACAAGTTACTTTCACATCATTCAGTACGTATCAGGATTATTTACAGCATCTTTCATACAAGTAAAAAATACCAAGAACCATTTTTGTATACTTTCTTGACACATTTGCGTTTAAATACAACTCCTGAAAATGAAGAACTATCAAGGAATTGTGTTTCAAAAGTAGAAGGGATTTTCTTGGAATAAGAATATAAGTTGTTGTTCATTATGTTTGCAGGGTGTGGATGTGAGTGTACTTAATCTCTTCAGTCACACCCACACCCACATCCTTGGCGCATAGACAAATCTGAACTCTCTTGGGTCGTATTGGAAGCTTCGTCTATGTTTTTCTGTTATTCTATAAACAAGTAGAAGCTAATATTACGTACCTTATATCGGTTGGACATGACTTCCATGTCATTATAAGAACGTTCTCCACTGCCTCGTATAGTTTCCTTACGAGTTCCATTTTGACCTAATTCGACATGCCAGACTGGCACATGACACTTCAGAGTCCTTGCACGGCTCTCAAGTTTTATACATCTCGGGATAGTCTCGTGGCTCGCTGATCGAACGCGACAAGAATCCTGCGCATAGGAGCGCACTTTAGAACGCTCTTGGATATACAGTGAACCACCGACTAAAAAGCAGACAACAGCAACAGCAGCAAAAAAGCAACCAATGCCGAGTACAATCTTCACTAATCGAGGTCTAGAACAGAACTCTGCCATATAAGAGAATCTAGAGAAAAAAAAAGAGCAGAACAATTCATTTATTATTCTTTAGTAAATATTCTGGGGATGAAAGTAGATGACAAGGTCATTTTTTATTAATAATATTAAGTACAAATATGGGTTAAATTACTACTCTCACTTATTTTTCATAAGAAGACGAGTCATTTTGATGAATTTTATCGGCATCTGAAATGACTCGTTCTGAAATATTATTTTAGTTAGTAGAAAACTTTTGCAGTGCCATCGATCACCTTGATCACACCTGGTATCTTCGTCATAATGGAACAATCAAGTGCACACAAAATTGTCCGAAAGTTGTCTCATTCACGTAACTGAAGCATTCGATACACAAACATTTCCTAAGAAGAAGCGAAAAAAATCCTTGATAATAGCTTTTCATCAATGCGTACGACATAGAAAAACGATGATGTTGGAGGGTTTGGTTTTTTTTACTTCTCAATTAAGTTGTTTCAGTGACTTACTTAGAATAATTACCCTGAAAATACGACCGAAGTCCTCTTCCCTTTGGATTCATGTTGCTCAGCTGATCATAGATATACTTTGCAGCTACAGAAGTTTTTTTAGAAAATCTCCCATTTTCACTATGTTCACTGGTCATAGGATGTTTGATCATTTCCCTCTAGATACCGATCATTAGCAAGCCAGCTACGGACAGAACAAACGTTGCTTTCTACAAAGAAATACAAGGATGCATATTCTAGATCATAAAGAATTGATTTGTTCATGAATTTCACACCAGAAGAAAAAAAACATTTTTCAACCCTTTCGTATTAATCTCTTGCTTCATAATTTCCCCAACTAAGATTAGAGAAGGAAGGAAACGTAAAAGAGATCGAAAATGACAATACACTTGTTACCGCATCTATATATTATAACAGAACTCAAATATTTCTAGGCATATTTCACTACCAAAACAAGATTCAACGATTGGTATTGAAGAGTATGAGTATTAAATAGTAATGGCATTCAGTAGCGTCGTTATTGAATAGTAATTGTACTGAATAGTATTGATATTGAATGGAATTAGTATTAAGTGGTATTGCTATTGAATAGTAAGAGTGTTATGAATAGTATTGATATTGAATAACCCTATGTCATATCCAACAGATAAGTTAAGTTTCAATGAGAACTGTTTCAACAATCCTCTGATAGAAAATGATCGTTTATAAATTGATATAAGGTACTTAACACGTTTGGCAACTGCCAATCGGTAATACTTGTTTTTTTAAAGAACCATTCAGAAGAAGTACCTGTAACCTATAAGATGCTGGTTTATGATGGTGTCTCAAATGCTTAGGCTTTGTCTTCATGCGTTATCTTTAATATTATGAGAGACAGTGCTCAAAACAATACTGTTGTATATATGATTAAGTTTATATATGCAGAATGCTTTTTCGAACCTGCATTATTAGATTCATGTATTTTATTCAAGATGAATTTCAATTTAACGCAGATTTTGTGAGATATCAAAGAAAATCTTTCTTATGAGAATGACGTCTTCTTATTAAATTTCATAAAACACTTTGAGGACCTAAGCATATGAAATATTAATTATTATTTTCAAAACTATAACCTTTTACTGAAAAATAGTTAAGCTCAAAAATTTTGAGAAATAGATCAAAAATTCGGATCTCGTGATCCTGCAAATGTTTCATCGAAATTTTTAACAAAATTTCTTCTACCGATTATTCAGTTATTGATAACGCTGATGCTATCAAGAATCCCGAAGTATAATAATGAAAATGTCTACAGACAGTTCAAAAAAGAAGCTTCAATAGTTAGAGGTATTGCTTCGCATTATGTCTCACAATGTTAGAGATACCACACGAAGATAAAATTTAATTATTATGAGCATTATCGTAGAATATCCTTTCAAAAATTACAGATATTTCGGTTTGGTAGACTTTGACAAAGGATAAGTATCGGCTTTAAGTATCCCTGAGAAAATCAAAAATACTACTAATAAAAGATCCTTTAAAAATTTGCAGGCATTCGCATTACGTAGCCGTAAAGAAAAAGTAAGTAGTTCTCTTAGATGCTTCTTAAAATATTTACAATTCTTATCAAAAAGTAGTTAAAAAACATTTCAAATACCTTGCTGATCTTCGAATGATCATTTCTTATCAGACAATTGTTCAAACGATTTTGTCTTCATTATAGGAACTGTTTAAACAATTCTCATTCGGTTTAGACTGATGTCTTGCAGTTTCATTGATGATCGATATATAAAATTCATGCAAATGATTGTGATATGAAAAACAGTTAATGAATTAGTATTTTACAAGATGTTATTTTTCAAGATGACCAAGAGATGGATCGTACACAGTCATTTACAACATCATTTACCTCCGTATTCACATTAGTTTCTCCTCAATAAAGAAGAAGGAGCAACTCTCTGTTATACACCTTCTCTTAATACTCTCTTTGGTCTGATTCTCAGTGTAAATAATACTCACTTTTCGTGCGAGATATTCAAATAAATCTAGAATGAATAAAAAACATTATTGAATGTAAAAACATTCTCGTTTCATCTCGTTTTCAACAACTGCAATTGCAGTGTGACTCGTCAGTGTGAATAATTGCGATGCAGTTATGTATAATTGCAAAATAAAAAATTCATTCACGCAAGGTTACAAAAAACAAAATTATAGTAACGAGCAATTGCAGGGTAATTTGATCGCAATCGAAAATATGCATTATTTTCTATTAGTTGTGCCTTTCAGAGGAATGAAAAATCAAAAAGAAAAACATTATTTACCTTAAAATAATACTATATATTCGCTGTGCTGCCGAAATGATTCTACAATACAACAGAACAGAATGATTCTCTCGACTACAGGGAGAGCCACATGAAAAAAGTGCGTTTATATGCTTTCATTTTTGTATGTTTGCTTGCAGCTACATGTCCACATAAATGATTTTTCTATAAAAGTTGACGAGAGCAAATCGACATCGCAGAATCGGAATCTGTGGTCGCTTTCTCGATTTGACTGATCATCGAATGGAAACTGGAGTAACCAGAAGATAGCTTCTTCGTTATAAATTTATTCAGGATTTTGATGAATCTTTGTTAGAAGTATCGAGGGCAGAGAGCCGAAATGTAATGTGAAATTTTCGATTTCGGGTTGCATTAACCAAGAACTGGACCAATCACAAAGAAAGTTATTAGTTTTCTGTTTTTGGCCCTTTCGATGTAATTTCGAGACAGATGTGAAAGTCGGTAACTCGATCTTCAAGTTGGATTTCCAGATGTTAGTGTATGAATCATTTTATCGATTGAAGGAAAGTTCATAGAAAATAAAATGTGTTGGTTTATGTGTTTGCATGTTGTAAGCTGTTCCATCTAGGTGTAGTTCTTGAAGTCGATATCTATCAAAGAAAACTGCAATGTGTAGGATTGTATTCATGCAAACCTGTATTCAAGATTCTATAAGTCTACTTCCATTATTTTATCGAACTCACGCATAGAACTGCGAAATTTGATGTAAAGTCACTTTAAGTGTCATTTATCGAGATATCGGAATTCTTTTTAAAAAAATGAATTGTCGTTTCTGTAAGTTAAACTTCGACGGTTTGATCGAATTGAAAAGTAGCCATTGCGATATTTGCTACCAAGAAAACTCTACCAACTACTTGATGGTGTGGGTGTACACAGAAGATGAGACCGAGACTCACATCCACACCCAGACACCCACACCCGTTGACTGTCATCAGTTTGCTGCTTTTTTCCAACTTTCAAAGAGCATAACAATATTTCTATTCGTCGGACGCTCTAGGCAAAATATGTGTTGATTTACTGCTACGCAAAAATGCAAGAGTATTCGTGAAGAGAATTGCCAATCAACATAATTTTGTTAGTGTTTGTTTTTTCTATTATGAAGGTTTGTTTTTTTTCAAACGGCAGAGAATCAATCGATACTCGTTTAAGATGGTGCCTTCATCAATGAACAAGTTGTGATATGTGCTAATTAAGATGATATTTTTTGAGTAATAAAAGTCAAAATATTTTTGATGATTATTCATATAAAAAAATCATTATTTAATCGAATGAAGAAAACCGCATCATGCAACAATTCTCAATTAAAGATTTTGTATATCAAAATCAAGAGAAAATATTCATTGTTTCAGAATTTTTATGAAACTTTCTTTTCTTTCTTTTCGTTTGAATAATAAAATATAAGAACATTAGTAAAGAGAATGATATTAGATACTTGCGAGATTGTACTTAGCTTCAATATTAATGTACATTCATTTGCACAGACATTCTTTTCTGTCATCTCAATAGAACAAACTTTAATGAGCATATCGCTTCGAATCTCGAAATACAAGATTCTTCGTATTCTAGAATATAAAGATATTTATAGCAGGTGTACACATTATTCGAGTGCTTAATTGAAAATTTCCTTGCTAATCATGCAATATTTTTATTATTCGATACATTCACATTCACTATTTAAAAGTATTTAAATTTATATTATCTTATATCTGTTTCGATCGAGAACATTATCATTGATCAGATGATGTTGAACCAGTAGACCAAGCGTAGTTAAAGCGAGTTTCTCTTCGACTGCCGGTCCATGATTTTGCCAATATTCACCAAATACGCCATGTGAATCAGCTGGGTTGAGTTGAGAGACACGAAACCCTCGAAGAGCGATAGC